GCGAAGTGCTGGAGTGGCGAACAAGGTGAAGTCTTGAGTTCGGATAGGGGAGTGTCCCGAACTACCATGAGGCAGGCCAGTTCGGGTCGCTGCCTTGTGTGGCTCGTGTTCTAAGGGAGAGTTCGGGCTCCTCGTAGGGAAGTCGGGCTCCTCGTAGGGAGTTCGGACTGCTGGTTTCTTCCCCTTGGTGCTTGCGCCCTGGGTACGCTGTTTTAAATGCCGAGCTATTTGCTTTTACCACATAGAGTGATTGCAAGGTCGGGCCAAATCTTCCTTCATCAGCCACCATGCCAGTGCGACACATCACACTATCCCTTCATGATCATCTTTGCATGCATTCAGATAACTTGTCTCAAATACCCAATTTTCACGAACTCTTTTGGCTATCCATCATAGAAACTATTATGTCATTTTCTTATTTTCTAAAAGGAATCGGTCTCTCCGCAGCCAAAGTTGCATGTTTTCCGTAACTAATTCATAAAACTCCGAAACAAGATGGATAGATCCCCAAAAAAGGATTATTCATTTTCTTGGATGGAATTCATTTTGTAGAGAGAAACCATAATGTAAGGACTAGTTTGAGAGGGGTCGAAGTTGGATTGGATGTCACTGCAACTGAGAAAATGTGGAGGGTCTTTCAGGCCATCCATCGGAGACACTGCCTTTGCCTACACCTTCACTCCTGTCCTCGTTGAGATAAATTACCAGACCTTTTTACATGTTTGTCCGGCCTTCAGCTTCAAAATGTGTCATTTTCACGTTATAAAGAAAATTACATGAAGTTCAGAGAGCATTTGTGTCATTTCACATTCCACTTAACATCTGTTAACAGTTTTAGACTAAATTGACAGTTTTCCAAAGTTTGGGTATTGTTTTTAGATTTTCAGCTCTTTCTTTTTTACTCCTTCCTCTCTTTTTTCACTTTCACATTCTTACCTTTTTGTGTTTTTTCTTCTTTGCATGAATTTATTTATTCATTTCTCCTTTCTTTTTTTTGTATTTCTTAATTTTTGCATTTTGATTTCTAATTTCTACTTTTTTTTACTTGTATTATTATTTTTTTCATCTTTTGTTTTCTTAATTTTTGTATTTTTCTTACTTTTTTTTTTACTTATAACAATTTAAGAGTTGTGACAAATCAACATCATCTATTTATCAAAAAAAAAAAAGTATAAGTTATAGACTACCATTTTATACTTTGGGGGTAGGGTAGTGAGTAGTGACACAGCCCCCGAACTTTTATTTGCAACAATGAACTTTTAGACTCCAACACTTTGTCCACTTCCTAGTTAACAAGCTTGACAGCAAAGATAAGATTACTAAAACTCCCATTCAAAGCCTAATGGACTAAGTGTCACTACCCGTAAATTACATGTAGTTTATCTGTAATTTAAGTATTTAACCCAAAAAACCGAACCGTAACATGAAGGCTAACCCGAGTTAATAAGCCGAATCCAACTCTAGAGTTGGGAAATATTGCTATTAAAGGGTTTTTCTATGGACTCCCGATCCACCACCAGAGACAGAGAGAGAGAGAGCATACAGAGAAATGCTGAGAAGAAAACCAAGCAAGATAGAAGTTAAGGTCGAGGACAAGGAAGAATTAGAAGAAGCCCGCAAGCGCTCCACCACCGCCGCTCCCCCTCCGCCCACTGGCGCCGCCGCTATCCTCCACCATTTAGACCGCAACAAGGACCCCTCCACCAAATCCCAACGAATCGGCCTTTCTTCTTAACACCACCCATTTTCTAACTCTACTCTTTAAGGAATAAACCAAAAGGCAATAAGGATTAGATTAGGAGAAATGGAAGTAGAGGTCAAGCTCCGCCTCCCGGACTCCTCCGCTCACCAGAAGCTCTCTGAAGTCCTCTCACCCTTCCACCTCAAAACCCACCTCCAAGAAAACGTTTTCTTCGATGGCGCAGCTGCCGAACTCTCTTCTAAGCGTGCCGTTCTCCGCCTCCGCTTCTACGATAGCGACTCCCTCTGCGTCGTCTCTCTCAAAGCCAAAGCCGTCATCGTTGACGGCATCAGCCGCGTCGAAGAGGATGAAGAGGAGATTGATCCTTCCATAGGTCGCGTTTGTGTTGCCGAGCCTTGGCGGCTTGCATCTCTTGATTCGTCAAGGATCTTGAGGAGGGTTAAGGAAGAAATCGGAATTGGTGATAAGGGTTTTGTTTGTCTGGGTAGGTTCAAGAATGTTCGAGCAGTTTTTGATTGGAAAGGGTTGAAGTTGGAATTAGACGAAACGCAATACGATTTCGGGACGTGTTATGAGATCGAGTGCGAGAGCGCCGATCCAGAGAGAGTCAGGAAATTGCTTGAAGAGTTCTTGACGGAGAATGAGATTAGTTATTCGTACTCGGAGGTTTCTAAATTTGCTATCTTTCGATCTGGGAAGCTGCCATAGTGAGTGAACAGCGATACCCTCTGTGAGACTATGACCATCTCTTCGTTTCTTCTTGATATTTTCTGGCTTTTTCCTAGACGTCTGGAGCCTGGGCATTTGTTACTGAATTGTTTATGTTCTATTTTGCATGTCTGATATGATGTTCTTCGATGGGTGTTCATTTCTTGATTTCATGTCTTGTCTTTTCCTGGTTGAGAACTTTCTTATCCATTGATTACTATGAAAGCTTAATTGTTTTTCGGTTTTCTTTCCTGTAAGAAGCTGACAAGATTGGACAGCCTTGAGACGGCTTTTACTTTCAGTTTCTTTGTTCTTGGAGTAAGTGAATGCGTTTGAGATAAAATTGAACCGCATTCTTATATGCTTTCTTAATTTGTTGTTTGATCCATTCAGTATTGAGTCACATAGCCATTTTATTGCAGTATCAATAGCATTTTGTTCTTCTTGTGAAAATTAAAGGGAACATTTCAGTTGGAGGTTCTAAGCTTCCATTTACACTAGAAGCTGAAGTGGCAGTGGTAATCCCCATTTTCCTGCTAGGAGTGAGCTTCAGTTCAACAAACTTTTAAATATATTCACTTTAGATCCCACCGGAACGCGTCAACATCATTCTCAACATGACCTGCTGGATACTTGTTCCATCGAAGAAATATGTCAACTAAATTTTGGTGGTAACTATTCTTTACTAACATGATGACACCATTCATGTCTAAGTCTAACACTCTAACTATGAATGTCTGCTTCATGTACCAATTTGCACTCGTTCAATGGAAATAGAAACTCAACTAGAATATTCTGAAATGAGGATATTTTAGAGGGTCTATTAATTGCAATTGCCTAATAGATAGGCATAAGGGAAGACCCTGACTCAATGACTCCATCCATGTCCAATAATGAATGCCAATTGAGATCCTTGTATTATTTTTAACTTATGTCTGACCACTTCCCCTTTCAAACTCAATGTATGTGCCTATTTGGAGATATCCAAAAGAAAAAAAAATAAAAATAAAATCACTGTCTATTCATGTTAATAAAATGATCATACAGTTCCTTTCCACAAATAAGCAGTTTTACCTTGGTGGCACAGTTTGCCAATTACTTGGTGTGTAGTGTGATTACATACCTATAAATAGTTATTAAATCACACAAATAATATAAAATTATAATATAAATAAGAAAATTATAGGGAGTTTGGAAAATTGGAATGTCAGCACTTAGCACCTTATTTACATGTCCTTTTTATCATGAGACTACTTTGCCTAAGAATTTAGTGCCAGAGTTTTTTTGGTGACTTGAGCATGGAGCATCATCTGCATATTACAAAAATGAAGTATCATGCCAAGTGCCAATATTCAGCATACCTTGATTTTAAGTAGATAGAACCTTTAGTTTTCTTTTTCTGATCAATAATAGAAACAGATTCATTCTATATTAAGAAAAATAGTACAAGAGAAATAGTCACGTTATGTTTGATTTTTGCAACCTTTTCTTAGTGATATGATATTGCAAAAATAAAATCTTTTATTGGCAACTCAAGCATTGCAAGAATAAATCTTTTCACCTTACCCATTTGTGTTGATCATTCATTGGACATAGGCTAACTTTTTTTTTTAGCATTGCTTCTGCAGTTGAGTCTGTCTTCAAAATGCTATGAAACCATGTGTATCGTTTATTTAAATTCATTTTTCTCCCCTTCATTTGACAGATTGCATGAATGCACCTTATCTTTGGTGCAAGATTCCTTTTGAGTGTTTCTGAAACATGAATTCTGGAGAGATTAAGGCAAATGCCTTGTTCCTTTTTATTTTGTAGGGCCCGATACCCCTCTTTCTGAATGATCATGGATGCTGGACGCCCATTGATGCCAAACTGATTAGATCAATTGTGGAGGCTAGGTGGCAAAGTGTATGTCAAGAACTGAAACTACCTCTTATCTAGCAGACAATAATCCAACAAACACATCCATTCTAATGCAACTTTGTTTTCAATGCAATTATTTAGTCATCCATGAAAATCATCATTTCCCCCATCCAGCTTATGTTATTGATTCCAATTATATTCATGATCAAGCAAACCGTTTTTTGTTGTTGAACCATATGATGCAAGTTTATAAGTTATTATGTTTGCCACATGTGTACCCTTAGCTCTTATAGATCGACCTGGTGTGACTTCCCCCCAACCTCTCTGTATTTTGGTAGCTAAAGTTGGTTCGTGCAAGCTGAACATATAAGTCTCAAAGAATATTTTTTAAGAATACTGTTTACACTGCAAGATATAAGATATTGATTAAAAAGCTTCAGAATTTGAATTTCCATCAGTAGGTGCCATACTGGTGATTTGTGCAACTATTGGCACTATTTATACCTCACTCTTAAAAGACTAAGTTTCAGAAAGAGTGTTTTACCCCAGAAAAAAAAAAAAAAAAAGTTTCAGCAGCAATAATCTATAGGAAACGAGGAAAAACGACCCAGTTTCTGGCTTGGCACAAAGGAAATAAAGGAGGAAGTAGAAACTATCTTGATCTTTTACAAGTTTCGATCAACACCATGAATCAGACCACGGAAATGAACCAACCAATTTCTTCATTCCAGGTCCAAACCACTTCATGTGGTCTAAGTTCTTTCTGATGTATAGGATCAAGCCTGTGACTTCCTAATTTTCTGCCAAGTCTAGCAAATTCAACAACTACTCCATACATACTTTTGAAGTGTCTTGAGACACGCAGCCTCTTTGACATATTATTTATTGGGTAAAAGATTTAATCCTGCCCTAACATACAAATACCTCTCTCTTTTCAATATGGTCCTATACCTCCCTTGTTCGGTGATGTCATTGGACAAATAACTTCTCTTCCATTAAGATTCCATCAAGAGCCGATTGTATGTGTCCTTAAAGTGCCGTTAAATATTTCCAAAAACCCAATCTTGCTTCTTCCTTTCATTTGTTGCTGATCTTAGTCGACTCTCTGGCCAAATCCCATTCTTACTATTCTTCCAAAACAAACGAAACAACCATATGAACATGCATAAAGTTGAGAAGTCAAACATTCCCTCTAGTATCCTATCCTGTGTCGATTTTCAATCCTTTTGCAGCAGCCTTCTTATCATGTAAACATGTCGAGTTTCTGATCTATTCTGTGTTGTAGGGGAGTATGGAAATCACCAAGTCATCCTTTTCTTCATGTACCCCCTCACAATCCGATCACCTTTGCCATTGTGCCAAGAAAATTTCCTTTAGCACCTCTGAGAACTACGTCTATGTTTGCAGAGTTCTTAGGATTATCTCTGATCAAATCATCAAAGTTAAGGATTAACCATCCATCCTTGTTTGCTCTCCACGCAAACTAGAGCATTCTTCTAAATGCAATGTTTTGGTTTTTGTATCGGTCATTTATTCTCCATGCATATTTCAGTGGGTCATGTTTCTTACCACGAGAAATAATCCCTTGGTTTCTTTTCTAGTTCCTTCTTAGCTCTCTAGATTTCCCAAAAGACAAACGGACCTCCCCGCACCTCTCTTCAATCTTGAGCCTATGCCACTGCATAATCACATCCTACATACTCATGTGCTGGTCTCCAATTGCTTGAGCAAAATTTGTCACTTTCGTAAAAAGATGATAGATCGATTCCTCTTTAATGAAATTTGGCTTGTTGAATTATGGACAAGCAAAAGTTGATTGTGTTGGTGAGAGATGCAAGGGACATACAAGAGTGGCTCATGATCCAATAGCTTAGGGCCTTAGGCTTTTGGGTTACAAGTGGTGTCCATCTTCTGTATCTAAGTCCTATGTGCGTGTACATGTACGAGCCCCCTAATTTTGGTGATTCCCCTCAGTGCATGACAGATTGAAAGTGCAACATTTTGGAAGAGTATATTTAAGATTTTTAAGGGTAATTTGAGATTTATAGATGAGCCAAAGTTGATGAATATGCCAGGGAGATGTTGGTTAGCAATTATAAGCCTACCCTAATTATAAGTGAACTGATATATATATATATATATATATATATATATATATATATTGCTTCCCCATCTCTTTCCCATGCTAATATATCTAGAAAGGAAAAGGAAGCTAGATACATGGATAGAGAGGTAGAGACATTCATTCCATGAATGGGAAAGCAATAATGGAAAAGGTAAAATAATAACAGACAAAGCAAATTGTTGATTCATCCAAGGACAGCAAATTCCAATTCCCCCTACTCCATAACCACAGAGAACCTGAACTCTCCTCTCTTACACCCCATATTCCCTACCCGCACAAGGAAAACTAAAATTACATACCACTACACTATTTCCTCCTCTTAGAATGTGGCTGAGGAAGATCCTCCTTGTCATCTTCCTCTTCATCTTCGAGTCCGCATTTCCGCCCCACCACCTCTCACCCCACAATTGCCCCCCACAATGTGCGACTGCCACATGTATAGTCACGTACGGTGGGGCATTCCCGTGTGCGGGGTAAACGGGATGGCCATTAGCTCATCCCGTTACCCCCAAAACGATCCCAAAAAAAGCAAAAACTGAGTTTCTCCCATATTCTCACCCTCTCAACCTCAAATCGGAATCTCTGGCCCGTTCTATCACGAACTCAAATCCAACACCATCTCCAGCACCCGCGATCACTCGAATCCAACACCATCTTCAAAGTTCAATTCAAACCTTGCCTCTGGTCCTGTCCATCTAAAAACCAGAATATAGAGGAGCTGTCAAGAAAAGAATCGAAAAAAGAGCGAAGACTGATAGAGAATGAAGAAGCTCTACAGAAAAGGCAAAGTTCACCTATTGCCTCCGATTGTCTCTGGCCACCTCACTTTCCTTCCTGCGATGATTTTGACGCTCACTTGGCGCTGCCCCCCGAAGATAGGGAAGTATTGGCTTATCTTTTATCTTGCTCCGGTGCTATACGAGCTATTGGGTTCGGTGGGACTCTTCACCTAATCATCAGATGATTCATGAGATAATGGATGCTTTCGAAGATAGTTTGGTGCAGAAGTCCAACGTCAAAAGCAAGAAAGAGAAGAGGAAGAGGGTCAATATTTCAGATGACGGAAATCACATAGAAGAAAGTCCGAGTAGGGAGGAGCTGAATAAGTCGGAAGTAGTGGAGGAGAGTAGTGATGACATTGGTGGTGATAAAGAAGTGGAGGAGATAGAGAAGGGTTCCATGAGGAGGTTTTTGAGGCAAATAGAACGAATTAATAGCCGTCTCGTTAGTCCTGCACGCAGGAACACCCCACCGCGTGCGACTGAACATGTTGCAGTCGCACTTTGTGTGGGGCGATCGTGGGGCGAGAGGTGGTGGGGTGGAGATGCGAATGCTTCATCTTCCCCATCTTCGTCATCGTCACCATCCTCTTCATCTTCATCATATTCATTATCACCTCCTTCCATCACCACTTGCATCAGCATCATCATCAGGATTCCATTTGATCATCATCACCTGAAGCACCCTCATCGTCTGGCTCATCTGCATCATCATCATCTTTTGTTTCATTACCATCCTCGTTTTTAGGGTCTGGCTTTTTCATCCTGTGAAGTTCAACTAGAGAATCTACAAGGAAATCGTACCCATTTGCTCAATAAATTACTTGTACAAGAATAATACAGAAAACAATAACATTCTTCCAACCTCTCTTCTATGCCAGACATGTTTGGTAGCAATCCTATGCCATTTGATAGTGCTCCCATCTGGAACAGACTTGGCTCAAGTGAGAAAATACAGAAACCAAGAGGAAATCGCCTTGTGAAATACATTGGACATATAGAATAGAATCTACAATATAGGTTGTGAAATGGAAATTGCCTTGTCTTTCTTTTCCATCACTAGATATTCTCTAATCTCTAATGCCTTATCAAAGATGTATAAATAGGATGTATTGAAACAGAGACCAAATGAATGGACAAAATGTGCAATAAAGTGGTAAATTGCCAATGGAGTGCTGAAAACAGGAAAACCAGAGAATTTGAATTAACTAGAAAAACATGTGTTCTGTTTCAATTTCTTAAAACCAAACCATATAGGATCAATGTCAAGGTCTTAATTCGAGAGAACTTTATCATCAACGGACACATCACTACAAAAGAACAAGGTTGTGATTGGATTGGAGCAGAAACGAAAACGCATAATGGAGAAGAAAAACCATAAAACCTCTACATTCTAATTCATAGTTGGGTACAAAAATGATGCCTCACAGAATCGAGAGTAAAAGATTTTTGCCACATTAGCTGTAGGTTTCATGGATTTTCCATTTTGTCGAGGCCAAGTCATTCTGGATTTCTGGTCCTGCACATTTTTTTCGCTTCCCACCGATGCTTTCACTCATTATATCCGTTAGGCTCAGTTTGGAAAGAGTACAAATATAAATTTGTAGAGTGCAAAAAATTATATTTTGTATTATTTCGTATGTCTTTGTACTTGTATTCTTTCCTAACTAAGCCTTAAGCACAAATAGGATGTCATAAAGCAAGGTTTATCTATCTGAAAAAGAAGAAAGGAGTAAGAGGGAGAACAGAGAAAAGGAGGAATAAAAGGAGGAAGAGGGAGAAAGGGAGTGGGAGAAAATGGAGGAACAACAACTGCCCTATAATTAAAACTACTCCATTCAGTTGCAGAAGAGAACAGTTTACGCATCCTGAAAATACTTAGCTTCAAAGAATAAGTAGAGACCTCAAAAGAAAATCAAATGAAGAGCCGTCACTGAAGTCTGTTGAAAAACAATTTGAACAGTCAAGGTGTAAAACCTAGATCCCAAAACCCTAGCACAAAAAATTAACAACCCAAATAAAGTGAAGCAAATCATTCTAATTTGAATCACCAACAAATATGATTTACATATTGTCTTAAAGTATCCCCAAGTTTTCTGAGAATTGTATCACTGTTAAATATTTATAAGAAAGATATCCTTCATTAATTCTCAAAGTTTCAAAATAAAACCCTACTAAAGACTAACTCATTTTCCAAACGGAGGAGACGGAAGTTTTTAACAGAACATGGGATCTTCCTCTGGTTCATTCTCGGGGTTTTATACAGTGATTCTTCAAGTGTAAAACCGGTAGAATAGTGATTTGAGTTGCCAGATCTGATTGGAGTTGGAATTGAGAAGAATCTGGAAGGTTTCCCGTTAGAGATCTTCCACATAGAGAGATGGAGAGAGAGAGAGAGAGAGAGCTACTAAAAATAACCCCCAACACCATAAAAGGTTTCAACTGTCTTTCACGCTCCCCATTAGTGGCCCCTAGACCTATTCACAGGTCGGGCCGGGTTGGGTTTGAGCCAGGTTTGCCTCTACATTAATAGAACATTCTCAAGCCTGAGCCCAAGCTCGGCTTGACCATCGGGCCTAGGTCTTGAGCTTGAGCCTGACCCTCATATAAAGCCCAAAGCCCGGGCCCAGCTAGAAATTTAGAAAATAGATTGTTTTCCTTTTTTATTCAATTAAAAACTATTTTATTTATATTAAAAAAGGCTCAAAACCTAAAAAGAATAATGAAAGGTCTCACTATTACTTGAAAAAATAGAAGTAAAGGCAAAATATATTATATATTTTTTATTATGTAAAATATATTTTTACTATATAATACATTATCAACTCGGGCTCAAGCTTGAGCCAGGTTTTTTTGAGATAGCTCAAGCCCGGCCTAAAAAAAAGATCGGGCCTAATATTTTAGGCCCAAGCCCACAGGCCTAAAATCCTGTCCAAGCCCGACTTAGATTGGGTCAGGCCGAGCTGGCCCATTGGGCTACCTGGCCCATGAACAGGTCTAGTGGCCCCTATCTTAGTTTCAAGTGAAAAGTTAGTGGTCATTGACAAGGTTTTAAAAAGTTAGTTGAGGCGTAGTGGCCCAAAAAGATGAAGTGTAAGCCTCAAGGCGTTGTGAGGCATAAGCCTCTAAAATAAGAAAAGTAATTAAAATCTATAAACAATAAAAGTAACATGTAATATACCAAGTTAGAATGATGGAACGTACAAATATACATAAAATAGAAGTTTAAAAACAATAAGCTTTAACTTTTAAGCATTAAATAAAATAATAATTAATCATCTAACAATTATAAGTATTTTACATTTTATGTTTCAAAATGCAACCTTACGAAATTATTCATATGAAGAATCATTTATATAATTGGCATTAGATATATGGTCATCCAACAGTTGTGAAGAAAAGAAACAATGCAATTGATTTGATCTATGCAAAAAGAATCAATAAAAAGAAAAATAAATCCATTAGGAAAAGGAATGAGAAAAGCAACTAACTTGGGGTATTAAATTAGAATATTAAGAAAAATCCACTTGATTTATCCAATAAAACTAATAACTTGAATACTTGATTGAGCCTTTTTTGCATTGAACTCTCTTAGGCTAAAATACTAAGAGAAACTAATAGAACTTTATTTGCCTTATTGGTTTTTCATTTTTACTCTTTTTATTTGGCCCATAATTATTAAAGTGTTTTTTCTGTATATTTTGAACTATAAAAATATGTATGTTTTGCATGAATCACTAAATAATGTTGATATTTGAGGTTACGCCTTTTTCCATCTCACCCCTTAAGGCCCAAGGCTTATGCCTCATTCTAACAAAGGCTTAAGCCTCATACCAAAATTGTGAGGCTTAGCCTTTAGGAAAAATCTGACACCTCGCCTCAAGGCATACGCCTCATACCTCAAGGCTTAAGCCTTTTAAAACAATGGTTATAAATAACTATTGAAAACAACCAAATCAGTCGACTCTCCTATCTATGGATTTTTGACCATTTTGGACCGGTCCAATTCAATGTCTGGGCCATCCAATCTGTTCAAATTCGTTTTAATTTAGATTAATTTCAACTCAAACCCAGTCCACTGACACGTACTATGAGACAGTAATGGGATTTCTGGGTTTGATCCGATCAAGCGTTTTCCTCCACTCACTCGTTCCTTTTCAACCAGCATCCAACCACCTCCTCTCTCCCTCAGTTTTCTTTATCATCTTCTTTATTTAACCTCATACATACACACAGTTGCCGCTGCAACTCCAGCAGCGGCAGTGTTTTCATCTCTTTCTCACATTCTCCCTCACTCCCTGCCATCATTTCTCTCCTTTTTGTCATTCATTTTTCTCTCCTCTCTCTAATTCCCCCTCACCACTCCATGACGCCCCTGTTTTAATTTTCTTCTTCCACTGGCCCACCACCCACTGCAATTTACGGTGATAGCTCCAGTTTTCATGTTGATTGTAACGGAATCCTAACGGCATATGAGCGGACTGTGATGAAACCCTAACAGTAGGGGAGTAATTAGTCAATTGTCAGAAAACTTAAGGATACTTTAAGATAATATGTAAACAGTAAAAATAGAGTTGGTCAATTTCTTGAACCATATGGATACTTTAAGAAATTTGCCCTATTTTTATTTTAAATTAAAAGTTTATTTAGCCCCTTTTTCTGACTAGGAGACCCAACATTTGTTTGAAGGAGAATGCTCATGGCTCCTGATCTTTTTAATATATGATGTGGATACTTGCCTTAGGTTAACATCCAAGCCACCATCTATAAAACTTAGTCCATTTATTCCAATCCCAGTCTCTCTCTAGATATACCCAGCCAAACTGTCCTGAGAAAACTCATTTGTCTTGCTGCCCTTGTTCATTGTTAGATTAGTCCTATTAACAAAATTCAATGTTTTCATTCACATGGAAGAGTCCAAAACAAGGCCGATTTAGACAGAATTATTGGCGTGTTCAATGGAGAATTTGGATTTGTCACATGGATCATCCCCTAGTGCTGACAAGAGAAAAGCTTTGCAATTATTGAGGGAAAAATATCCTCCATTATGGTTTGGAAATCAAGTGGAAGGAAATTGTTTAGTTTATTTCATTGAACCATTTCAAATGAAATGATTTAACTTTTATACTATCTATGCGGTTGAGCCAATAAACTTACTAAGGAAAAGAATGAAAGAAATAGAGTACCCGTGTGAGAGGGCTTTCATGGTGCGGCTTCTTGCGTTACAAGGTAGGCCCTACACATAAAGCCATGAATTTATATTTGGTAAAATCCCCAAAAAACTGAACATACACATGCATGAGTCATTATTTCAACTTTCTTGTCAAACTATAATTAGTAGCTTCTCCAAAGTGGTTAAATCAACGCTGAAGCATACAGGCTAAGAACCACTGAAGGGAAATCAGCAAAAAGTTGGAATTGGAGGAAAATCAGGATATAAACTTGTTTCTATTTTCTGTCAACGTTCTCAGATGAGCCCACCCTGAGTTTACCATCTAAAGTCTCTTATTACCCACAACCTGGAAGTCAAAATGAAAATAATGCTAGATTTATCTTCGGCCAATTAAGTGGTGTGATACACGAATGCCTGTGTACCACATTGAAGAAAAAGATAAGAGAGATAAGAGGCTTACATACAAGAATTGAACCACATAAGATAAATGTGGTATCCAACTCAAATAAGTTTTACGTACATGTACCAAACTCCCCAGGTTTCTTGACTCCCCTCGGTTCCACAAAGAGCAAGGAACAAAGTACCAATACGTAGGACCATGGAGCACTGCCCCCTTGTTGATAATGTGTACAATCAATACATTTGATCCTTGTTAGGAAGTATACTTGTGTTTGTGGTAAATTAACTTTGATTAGAGGGTAAATAAACATCCTTGCTCCTGACTTTGCACTGTTAATTCTTGGCCCAACCTTTAGTTTTACTTGGTTTCAAGTTATGAAAACTTCTTCCATCTCCATGACAGAATTTCATTAATGGTGGGAACCGGTTATTCAACATCGCAAGAAGTATTACCTAGTAGTATGCATGTATGAAAAAAAAATAATAATCCTTGATCAAAAGAAAGTTGAGAAGGTACAAAATCAAGAAATGGAGTGTTGGGATAAAAAATCTGCCTCAATTTTTCTTGTAATGTTCTTCCCATGTTTTCTTGCAATAATTCCATGTACGTTCAGCTCAGTCTCCAATTAATTATGAATAATACACAGTTTTTTAACGGCCTCCATTTTGGTTTTCCTGTTTTCTGGTGATGATGAAGTACACAGTTTTTTATTGCATCCAGCTTACACTTATTCACTTAACCCTATATTGTCATAGTAAACAAGCTTTGAATCCCTTTTCTAATGCCTCTCCATCCAAGTTCTTCCCTATGAACACAATCTTGTTAATTCTTGGTTCATCTGGAGCCCACAATCTATCAGGGGAGCCTTGGAATATGTCATGAACTCCCTGTTCCATCAATAAAACACAGCATACAAAACAAATCAATGTCACTCTACCAAAAGCATCAAAGACGATAGTAAATATTACGATTAGAACAGCTTAAAAAACAACTATGCAATTGGTTGTAAATCATTATGCATCTCAAAACACACGCACACAGGTGCGCATGCATGCATGCTTATTAGTTAAGGGCATCATAATCTCTTGATATACATTATAAATAATATCATTAATCATGTGCTTAAGATTTACGGCTAGAGTGCATCAAATTAAAGGATAGTGATGTGAAAACAAATAGTATCAATATTTTATAAAGAAAACCTATCAAATAGAAATGAATGAACATAGTATATATTCATCTGTAAAATGGATCAAAGTTCCATGTGATGAGACAGGAACAAAGAAGCTGCCAGGAGCAGGGGCCAGGGGGAATTAAGATCAAAAGACAGATCTTGGAATGGCAGAACCTACCTGGAAGACAAATCTTTCATTCATGCCCTGAACAGATAGAAGACCTTTCATACGATATATGTCATCACTACGCTCCAATAGTAATGTACCTAACCAAATATTAGCCTGCAATAGACAGTAAAAGCTTAGCAGTCTGTACAAATTCATGTCACTTCAACATAGATAAATGCAATATGCAATTAAATCATTCCTACAAGGGGTAACGAAAAAGGAAAAAAAAAATATGAATGGACTGTATTCATCTTGATCAGGTCAAATTGTGAAGGTGAAGCTTTGAGAACAATCGCAAATGGCAGTAGAGTACAAATGGTTCAAAAATAAATGCACAAGAACGTGAAAGCCAACCTTCTCAAGATCCAGGTTTCCTTCACAAACTATGCTGACAGAAGAAACGCCAGGGTCATGACTATGATGATGAGCATGATCGTCAGCATGATGATCTGCACACAACAATGTCAAACACATTAATCATTTCTCTCTAGAAGTCCCAAGATCTGCATTTTTAATAGATAAGACAGACTCCCCAATATGCATCAGATTGTGATTCTTCTAGAAATGCTCCCCAGTGAAACATTCACAAATTTCCACACAAAAAAGAACCAACATGTAGCAAGTAGCAACTAACTCTGACAAGGCAAGGATAAAACAAATAGGGAAAACTAAAATTTGAAACTTTGTCTAATATTGAAAGAAACCAGTCATAACATCATGGCCCATGTCATATAATCATGTTAATACCCACCAACAACAAGAAAATCAAGAAAATAAATGAAGTATTATTTATTATAAGATAATCTCCTTGGAATTTACTAAAAAGACTTACCATGTTTGTGCTCATGTTCACCATGATGATGATGGTGATCATGGTCATGGTCATGCTCATGATCATGGTCATGGTCATGGTCTTCCTTTGAACCATCAACATTGACAGCACTCTCAATCCTAGAAAATTCCAGTTTATGTTAGTTAATAACATCCAAGGATACAGTTGAATTACAAGATAGATGTACCAATGTAAGAGACGGAAATATTTGCGAAGGACCTTAATATAGTAAGCAACAGAAAGAATAGGAAATCTAATGATACATAAATAAGAATTGATGTGACAAAGTTCCAAAAAAAATGAAATGACATTGAAGTAGGCAACCTCTACAACAACTTTGAGAACAAGATCCCACACAAGCAAGAAAACTTTGTTGATGTAGAACGGATAATGGTATTTTACCATTTCAACCTATTTGATACACTTCTAAGCAACAGAACTTAACATTTCTACAAACTTTTAAAGTAGTACACCAAATAAAAAAACAAAGTGGAGTTAAAAAATGAAAAGGAAAAAAAGCATTTACCTAATGAAGGCTTGCTTTTAGTCTTATATATTCTTTCTTTTTCTGATAAGTGCTTTTAGTCCTATATGGCTGACCAGATAGTGATGCACCTTTTTGTCAAAATCACCATGAAAGACCCCATCCCAAGCCTCAAGGTTCTACAAGACAGATGTTTTACTTGTATAAAAGCACACAAGGGCCTTCCGATCCATTAATATAAGAAGGCACTCCCAGCACTTCTTTCGCATCCTTCATGACCCAAACCTTCCACCATCCTAGCAGCACAAATCTTTCACTCTGCCTAGTAGAGGGGTCATAAAATTCAACTCTGATGGCAGTAGGGCAGCAACATGGGAACTCTAGGACCTTCTGGAATGGAGGGAGTGTAGAGACAAAAAATGTAGTAGAGCAATATTTTCAGGCCCAATAGGCACTAGGAACTCCCTAAGAGAGATTTTGGCAATCCTGTAAGGCTTGAGGCTGGCAAAATAAATGAACATGGAAAAGATAATTATAGAAGGTGATTCAAAAGTAGTGATTGGTTAGCTAAAGTACGATGATCAAGTGTCATGGTATTACAGGAAAGCACTAAAGGAAATTAGATAGTTGACTAGGAGTTTTGGAGGTAACAGTTCAGTGGATTCAAATGTCAGCAAATAGTCTGGCTCATGCTTTAGCCAAAAGGGGTGATGAACTTTTTTGGGATCAACTATAAGGTATGATATAAATGAAAGGGGGTAGTTAGAATATTCTAGCCTATACTTGAGATGTAGGAAATTTAAGAACCTCAAATTAGTGATTTAAAAGGCGCACCTAGGTGCACAGGCGAGGCGCATTTCAGGGTAGGTGGTGCCTCGCCCGGGTCCTAAGTGCAACCCTTTAAAAAGGAGCACACCTGGTGCGCCTTGCGCCTCTCAGCCCAGGCGTGCGCCTTTTGAAACTTTGACGCTTTTTTGCTTTTATTTGTGTCTAGCAGTTCACTCGCTCACCGAAGCTTTGATAACCCCCTATTTGGTAATGTTGTTCATTCATTCATCCTAATAAAATGTCTTCTTAAAAAGCAATTAAAATTATAAAATCATTATTTTTTGTATGAGAACTAAGAATTTAATACCTAACATGGACTTGTTTGGGCTTTGCCTCAAGGGGTGTGGTACAAAGGCGGCTCGTAGAATCAGGAATGTAATATGTTTTACTACATCACATTAGCTACTTGAAGTAATGCAATTGAGAAAAAAAGAGATTGTGGGCTTCAAGTTACATTATTTCCCTCTATCTCCAAGCAGTCAGCTACCAAGGCTTTATACGACTGTTTTTCTGTATGGTGCCTTACTGTACATGAGAACACACCTGTACATGCTTCCTGTCTGGACTGATATATAATACATACTTTCCCTTTTTTCAAAATGAAGCACCCTTAAAATACAGAACTAAAGCACATCTGAACTTTTTAAGCATTTATGGATATAGAAATTAAAAGAAGGGCACCTTCAAATGGCCTAAATGGAAATTGTGAAGAGAGGTAGAACAAATGCAAAGGACAGGAACCCACTGTCCAGTCAGTTGCATCTAGGAGATTTTCTAGGTCAAAGCACCAAGAAAGAATCAAATAATGTTCAATGAATTTACATGCATGCTGCAGTATCAGAAAATATACAGATTTAATTGAATGCATCCAACACACATGAGCTTATGAATGGTTTCAAAATAATTAACATATTCAAGTCAATTAAGCTTTGTCCGGTTATCCCAACTATATGGAGTCAGCTACATGAATCCTGCTCTGTCATTCCACACACAAACTGACAATTCAGTATTCATGTTCATAGAGTTGGGCAAAAAGTTTTAACACGGGCTGCCTACCTGACAGAACCAACCTCCTCCTTTATCCAGGCTTGGAACTAGAACCATGGATAAGGCCAATACTGGTGACTTTTCTAAAGGATTTAATATATATGCCATTACCCAATGTTGGTCCCCCTTATCTGAGCTCTTGGAGGGGGTGGACTGATATGGACCTAACCTTTGGCAATTTTTAGCACAAATTGGCTGCTCATTGACTTGAACCCGTCTTATCATGCCTGTCAGCCCAAAACTCCAGCTAGCTGAGACCAACATTAGGTAATGGCCATTTTATCTCTAAACCAGTGCAAGAATTAAGAAAGAGAAATATAACCTTTCCAAGTCAAACCCTCCAATCCCGAGAACATAGTCCAAATCAACTTTTCCAAATTCAGTTCGCTTTAGATGAGCCATGCTATTTATGGTCTGTAGTGCAATACAAAAATACAAGAAATTAAAATATTAGACTGAAAGAGGTACTGACATAATGCATAAGGTCAAATTAAAATAAGAAAGAAATACAATTTCTAACCTTTATCTGCTGGATCAAGGAAGCAACTTCTCGCTCACTAACAAGGTCAATCTAGAGCAATGCAGATTAGAAAATCATAATTTAGAAGCATATTTTACATATCCTTAGAAAACTAAAAGAAGCTTAATTATTATCTATGGTAAAATAAATAACAGAGATAATGGTTGCAACAATTAAAAAAAAAGCTCCTAGCCAAAGTGACCAAAGCCAATTACTATCTCTTTCCATAACATAATGCCCCTATCCATGACTTCAGTAAAATGTCTGAACCAGCCTAAGGATTCCAAGAAATTTAACTCCCTACCTATGCTTCCCAATGTCCAACTGATCAAAATCCAAATTCTAAAGTGAAATAACATAAGGTTATACATTCTCTACCTTGTTTACTATAATCCGGTCTGCATAAGCAATTTGTTCAACTGCCTCATTTACTACTCCTTTGGGTTTAACCTCATCCAGGTGAAAACCAGCATGTTTTGCATCAACCAAGGTTACAACACCATCTAGCTTGACATCATTGAAAACTTCGTCTTCAGCATAAAATGTTTGGATGATTGGTGAAGGATTTGCTAAGCCTGCAAGGATGTAGAATAGAATCAAGAAATACACAATGACTATAGAATGATCAGAGAAAGCACCTAACTTAGAAACACGGAATTCCAGCAGAAGGTTCGATTGAAAAAATAGTAAATTTGAATAGTTTATATGAAAATAATGGGGAAATCTTAACAGAATCATGTTTGTGAGTGGTGAGTTCTGCTAATATTAAGATATTCAGAGAAAAGGCAGATGCAACAAGAAGAATATTATACATTACTGGGTATATCTGATTAAATACTCCCACTCTTACTATCTATCAAAAAAATACTCCCACTCTTACTAAAAAAAGATTATATACTCCCACAGGTCTAACAAATGCCTTTTACCAATTTCATTTCATGACAAATTCTGAAGAAAAGCTTTATGCAAATACAAATAAGTTGCAAATTTTATCACCTTATCTCTGAAGTCTGAACCATGCATAAATCATAAAACCAAATTTCAATTGAACGGGAATCTCTTCTCATGTAATATATAAATTGAAGAAAAGAAACTCAACTCATCAAAGTCATATGCCAACTATTGGTAGGCTAGTACCTTTGGGGAGGTAGCATCTCATGCCTCCTCCAAGGCTGGTTGCACTTCCCCTTTTTTATCTCTTTAATAAAATTGCCTAATCATTCATCAAAAAAACTATTGGTAGGCTAGATAAATCCTGTTCCTCCATTATCAAGAGTCAAACCCATGTGAACAAGAAAAGAAGCTCTGGATCCTTAATATCTATCAAGGTGTCAGAATTCATTATCCAAAAACAATATCCTTGCAGTTTGCACTACAAATATGAGGGATGAACAGAAGTTCTTAACAATGGCAATTATGAGCATTTGGTATAATGTAATTTTATTCTGGAAAATACGTAATTACCGCAATACTGTGCAATAACAAAAGAGACATCAAAAATTTCAATAAACAGCTAGCTACACACTCCGGGGGAGAGTCAAATAAATAGCAGTAAAGCTGTCCAATGGTGTTGAAATCTGTAGACTGTAGAGCTTATCATATCTCTTATCTCTTCCAAATTCCCTAAAGGCATATCAAATAACAAATTAACAATAAAATGCATTGTTGCAGTTAAGTATATTAACTGCACTACAAGATGAGCCAACCTGTAGTTTCTATTACAATATGATCAAATTTTCCTTTCTTCTTAGCAACCAACTCTGAAATCATACGAACAAGATCACCCCTAACAGTGCAGCAGAGACAACCATTATTGAGCATGATTATGTCCTCAGCTCCAGTGGTCTTGGCAGCAACTAAAGAGCCATCAATATCCACCTCCCCGAACTGCAAATCAAATTAGCGAAAATTAAATTCCACACCAAGTAATGAGCAAGATAATGGTTAAATCCCATAACTGGGTTATATGGCGACTGGCATCATAAAATACAGCCTAAGTTATAGGCAAACGATCAGAATTACCAAACAGAACGAAAAGTAATTACTCAATTAAATTACAAAATGCAGAAAAAATAAAATATTAACAAACAATTAAAAAGCAAACCCATACCTCGTTCTCAATCACTGCTATGCGCTTCCCATGGTTAGCAGTCAATATATGGTTAAGCAAAGTTGTCTGTTCAAACCAAAAACCAAACAAAAGAATATCATAAAAACCCATCTTTGCAATTCCCAATAAATGCATGCACTCCAAGAAATTGCAAAAATAATTAAATAAATAAATTCAGATGCAGTGAATAAGAATGCACTATAAATGTCTCTGCATTCCCCTACAAAGGTATACAGCCCAATAGTCCACCCTTTACAAGACCCAGATAGCCGGGACCAACATTGGGTAATGGCCCTTCGAATAAGAATCGACATCTGTGCTTCCATATCAAAACTGAATTCCAGTAACACAACAGAAAGACATTTATTTCTTGTTACTCGAATTGCAAATAAACCAGGGAAAAAAAGAAAACAAATAACATATAAAGGGTTATTATTCAGAGTACCTTCCCCGAACCCAAAAATCCAGTAATGATAGTTGCGGGAATTCGGTCGTCAGGAGGAATCTTAGTCAAAACATCCGAGCTATCGTTCTCTGTTGTAGCAGCTGCCACTGTGAAAGTACGAACTCGTCTCTTCGTTTTAGTGAAGCTCGAGACCAATTTCACATCGACTGAAGATATTTGGAAGCATAGAGGCTTCGTTCTCCATACGAGAGGGAGCAGTGTGGTCCGGGCCCTAAGGGTATTTACCTGTCGTCTGGCTAATCCAACGAAGGTAGTTGCCAAGTCCAGGGACATAGCAGCCATGGCTGTCTGTTCGACACTTCTAGTTGCAGAGGCGATATATCAAGAGTGAAAGAGAGAGACTGCGAGAGTGGAGCAGAGGAATTTGGATGTAAAGATATTTTCAAGAGGATCTTAATATCTTATCCTGAAATTTCAAGACCCTCCGTAAATGATATTATTAGCTTTCTGTGTAACTTGTAGCTGCAACGAGGTCTAGGGCGACAGGGCGTTCGGCCGCTTCGCATCTGCTGGTTTTCTTGTCCCCAATAGAATATGGACAGGTCAGCCATGAAAATAAATGGAGGATAACTCGCAAAGATCCCCTGTAATTTACATGTGTAAATCGACCCGCGGGCCGTGCTTCCCTTTCCTCGTATGCTTCTTCGGTTTTTGATATTTTGATTTTTTTTATTTTTCTGTTAAAATATTTTACTTTCGTTAATTCAATAATTTCTTTAAGTCTTGGGAATAAATTAGAAAAATAAAAAATATAATAAAGAAATTAAAAAATACTTAAATAGTTAAAAAATACAAAATAAACAATAAATTGGAAAAAATATGAAATTTATTTTTTTGATTTGAACAATACAATGCTCAATGGACAATAGATGAATGAAATATAGAAAATGGAATAAAATATAAAAAAATATAATACAATTATAATTTGAAAATAAAAAATTGCAATGTTGAAAAAATAACAACTAATTTAAATAAAATTGAAAAAAATATATCAATTTTAAAAATTAAAAAAATATACAATAATTGAAATAATGAAATATTGAGTATACAAAAAAAAAATATTGACTTCATCATTTTTCTTTAAGTTCCATCTCCACATGCATCTTCATCCAATCATCTCCTTGATTGTCATCATCTACTTCAGGTGAAATATCATGTGTAATGTCATGCCCTACTTTGTCTTGTAATATATTCTCAGCATCCAACCAATTTTTAAGGCAAATGTACATCTCTAGACTTTCATCATTCATACAACTTTTATTGTCGTCTAGTACCTTAGTACTTGCACTAAAACGAGACTCCGATGGAACTATAAACACTAGAGGGGTTAGTAGATCATGTGCCATGACGGCAAGGATTTGATAGTTTTTTTTATGTCCTCTCCATCAGGCTAAAATATCAAAATTATTCCATCCTTCATTGTCATAGGAATCAGTTAAAGTATAAATAATTGCTTATAAATAAAAATTAAGTTTAGTAAATGAACTTGTTGATGAACTAGTTGTTAATATAGTTGATGAGGGCATTATTGTTATTTTATCTCCCTCCAAAGCCAAAATACATAAATACCCCATATATGGTTGTTTATAATTGTTGGAGACTTTGGGGGTATTTCTATTNCCCCCCACATACACACACACACACAAAAGTTGAAACTAGCTGTTAGGGGGTCTCTAATGGCTAGTTCTTCGGGTGAGCCAAGCGCAGCCCATTATGGGCCTACAAGGGTCGTGCCAGGTTGCAGGCAGCCAAGTCCGGTTTACACCTCTACCTATATAGGGTATGACAATTACCTCTCAACCTTGATTTATGACAAAAAATCCACCCCCTGAACTTTCGCTTAAAATATCTAACCTAATCTTTTCTTTTTTGGGGTGTTAAATGCTTAAGGCTATGTTTGGAACCGATATAAAATAAACGTCATCTATGTAAAGCAAAGTTTTATATCGATCCATTAAAAAGTAATTGTTTGAATTTCAAAAAATGTGCATGAGAAAAGCAAAGTTTTATATCGATTTTATTGATGCAATATTTACATCAATAACTGATATAAAACTCTGCTTTAATGAACTTTTACATTAATTTGTGATGCAAAACTCTACTTCATCCAAACGTATGCAAAATTGAATCAGAGTGGAGTTTTATATTGATCATGATTGTATATTCCTTCCAAATGCCGAAAAAATCGAACCAACATAAATATTTACACTGATGATGTTTACATTGGTTCCAAATGCAAAACTGTTCCTATGCTTTAATCAAATAGACAATAACTTACCCTACTGTTGATTAATAAAAACTACTCTCATTTTTGAATCAATAAAACTACTCTTATTTATAAAAAAGAAAACTACCCTACTTTTTGCATAATCATTTAAAGTACCCAATAAACACTGTTAGTAACCCTTAAGGTAAAGATGAAAAAAAAAGTCTATTTATCATTGATTTTTTCTTCAATGTAATGTTTCTTTTCCACCCAAATTTCCCATAACAACTCTATATCCGAAATTCAAAAATCAGATCCGCCCAATTCTATTGTTACTCTAAACTTTTTAGGTATAATTTTTTTACCAAAACCATATCCACCCATATTTGCGGGTTGAAGAAGTTTCTTATGATTACATGGGGTTACTACATTGCTTGAGCCATTAATGAAACCTGATGGCTCTTGTGCAAATAAAACCCAGCGGTTTTCAAACCCATCCTCACTTACCACCATCAAATTTGCTAGCTGAACTCCTATTGCTCATGATTTCGGTATTAATGTAAAAATATCATAAAATTTCCTTAGTAAGGAACATGGTGATGGCATATGGTAGTGTCGCCCATCCAAATATAGCAGGATGAACCGAGTTGTTTTCAATTTACCAGCATTGTCTTGCATCTTCCTTGGTTTGTATGGGTCTAGTCAGAGATGCACAACTGATGCATCAAGACAAGTGACGGCACAATCCATACTTGCCTTCATATTTCTGATTTTTCCCATTATTTTGATCGAAAAGGGTCAAGGTTGATTTCAGGCATCGGATTACAGTCCATTTTGGCTCAAAAACGTATTCATTATGGTTGTATCTCCATTAACTATGTCGTTGAAGAGAGATTGGTGTCTTTGTCTCATAACTCGTATGCCGTTGAAGAGAAAGAGTGTCTTTGTCTATTATTTGAAAAGGACGAAAGGTATTTTCGACTATAAAAGGTTAGTTTAGGAATTTTGAAAACAAAAAAAAATGTCATGCGGCATCACATGCGGAGGATGTTAATGGTTAATTGACAGAAAAGGGTGAATTTGTCCATTGTCAGAAAATATAGGAGTACTTTAAGTGACAATGCAAACAAAAGGGTAAGTTCTTGTACCCTTTCTTTTTGTTGTCCACCTCTATTAAACACTAATTGACCTAAAAGAATCCTCCATTTCTCTAAGCAAAACCAATAGAATGACAATAATCATTTAACTTACATAAAAGACAAACAAGTTTCTTAATTTCTTTTCATTTTTATAAAAATTGTCCAATCCTTTTTCCAATAAATCAAGAAAAACCAAATGAACCCTTAAATTTATATCTATTAGAAAGAAACCTCTACCATTTTCTTTTGAATATTGAATCCAACCAAAAATATACAAAGGTCTATTAGAGAAATAAGAGGACTTCAATGTTATATTTAGAAAACTAGTCGAATTATAAATTATTAAAATAAATAAATAATAGTTTGAGATTTAAAAAAATAATAATAATAAACAGCTAAAGAGAATCATTTTCAGAGTTAATTGGCGGAACTCTAATGGAAGTATATTTATTACAAAATGAAAGTTTAAGGGTCTTTGTCACAAAATGAAGGTTCAAGGGGTAATTGTCGCCAACCCCATAGTACAAGGAGGTGAAATCCGTAAATTTATGACATCACGCAAAAGAGGTGAAATCCGTTATGCCCAATGGTGTAGCCTTGGGCTAAAACCTGAAATCACAACTTCTGGATGTATTTTGGACCCACCTTAATGCCACTTCATCCAATTCAATGTGGAGCCACATCGATACGTCAAGGGATGTGTGTGATTCATGACTTTATCCCATGGCTACACCAAGAGGTGTAGCCAATACAGAGGTTGCATGTTTGAGTCCGTCTTCCCTCATTTCGTGAAAGACACATATCCAAAAAAAGTTTGTGTTAAGATACTACCTAGGAGTGGAAATCAGGTGAACTTGGATTCGGTCCTTACAAAATAGAGTTCAAATTTGCACCCCACAATGTCCCATTGGGAACATCTCCTGATGATAATACCAGACCTGATGATGTCATCATCGGGAGATGTTCCCAATATAAGGCAGGGATGCACTGTTGGACATTCTGGGGCATCCCATTGTGGGGCACAGATCTGAACGTCACAAAATGATGCTCACACCGTACTTACAGTCACTTGAATGTTTTTCTTCATGGGGAGGTATTCCCAATGCACAATTGCAAGTGGTTGTGAATACAGTATGAAAACCATTTTGTGAAGACCAAATCGAATCTCAAATCAGGTTAGCCTGAGTTAGCATTTTACATAGCTTCAGCTCAGACCTTCTCGCTGGGTCCATCTAAATTTTGACTAAAGTCCAACCCAAATCCGCCCAAGCTGCAACCCAGTCTACCTAAACTATCAAAAGTTGTTATCCCCCACCTTTTACAAATGTATCAAAAAAAAAAAAAAACTCCTCTATTAAACTTTCATAAAAAAATGGATGGAAATTGGATGTATGAATCATGTGGCCTATTATTTAAAAAAGAAAAAACTCATGCTGTATTGGATTGGATCCCTACTTCCTTTTTTGCCACAAAAAAGTAGTGGCCTATTAAATTTTTTGAAATACCTAAGTTATCTGTATAAGTGCATTGGCCCTTATCTTATTTATTTGACATTTCAAAAGGAGAAAAATCTTTTCTACTCTATTCAACTATTTCTTTTACTTCTTGGCAACCATAGGTTTTTTTATTTGAAATAAATAAACTTAGGTTGTGTTTGGTTTGAAAGAGGTAGGGAAAGCACGGGAATCCTACCTTTTGTTTGAAAGAAATAGCCTTATGTTATTTCATTCAGTTTTTTTTTTTTTGGTAGAAACACATTGATCACTCTCGAAGATAGGTGGTAATAACGGGACTCAAATCTGCTATATGTGTATGCTTCCCTACCTATGGTGTATAGGTTTCCCTACATATATATGTGTATGTTTCCCTACCTTTTGTTTAAAAGAAATAGCCTTAGGCTCTTACATTTTATTATTTTATTTGAGAACAAAATCTTACCACATGTATGAAACAAATAGGGTTAATTTGATCATTTTACTTGATGTATGCTTTGAATGCATTCATAAATGTAGTGCTTGAAAGATGCTTGCATCCTTCATGGGATGAACCATATTGTTTTTATGTTTTAGTGGGAAATTGCAAGGGACTTCAACAACTGTGGTATGGCCATGGCATGGCTTTGACCACAATGCCCTATTGTGTGCATCTAGATCTACTATCCACAAGTTGCT